ATTATTTGTTTTCTGTAAAGATTTAATAAACAGTACGCACTTGTTTGACTACGGAAAAAAAAAAAAAAAAAAAAAAAAAAAAAAAATATTATTATTAATTGAATAAAAATATAATTTGAGAAAATAATGATAATAAATCAATATATCTTTTTAATTAATATTAAATTTTTATAAAATACTTTTTTGAATATACTTTTAAATATCCTTTAAATATGGTTTTTTCAATAAAAATTAATAGTTTAACTAATTACAAACAATAAAAAATAAATATACTAACAATTATAAAAAGTATTAATTTTTATATAAATTAAAAAATAATTTTTTTTTCTTTTTAATTCTATTTAATAAGCAAATAACATTTTATTTTTATAAATAATATTTAAAGACTTTGTATTATTAACAAGTAAATTAAATTGAAAAATTTTATATGATATATTTATTTTATATATTTGTAATAGTTCAATAAAATGACATGTGAGTCTATAGTACAGTGGTTAGTGCTCTGCAAGTCAAATCACAAGATAATGGTTCAAATCCTCCAGAGGACTAATATGGAAACCTCAAACTGGAAGAAAAAGATCGGCATCTTCTAATTACCATCACAAGATACCAAGTTTAGTTCTAGATGAAGGCAATTGGACTGTCTCAAAACGATATCTGATGCCATAACCTAACATGCACTGTTTCTTATAAGAAGCCAATTCACATGTTGATTCAACGGGCGTTAGGATTGTGATACTAAGAAAGTTGTAGTGGTGTGATGATCGTCCAGTAGTGTTATGATGATTATTGTCAAGTTTGGTGCTTTTCCTGTTTCTCATGCATGGAGCACGCTTCCTTACCCCTTTAGTTCACGAGACTATAAAATAAACAACCTGATTTTTCAAGAGACCAAGCTAGAGCCACAAAGATTCCTTGTTGGATATGGCTAGTCCACAACTGATCGTATTAGGATACGGTTCTTTGAGTTTCTATTTATCGGATGGTGGGTGGGACTGGAAGGCACACATCCTGGCACATTAGTATTCTACCTATGCTATCAGGACCCTGGTGTTAATAATATAGGAAAAATGGAGGGCAATAAGCCGACCGGTAGGTAAGTCATAAGAACTTTCTCTAGGTAGTTTCATTAGGTAGATAGGTAGTAGTCAATTCCCATAAAGGGAAAAATACATGTACTGTAAATTCATATCTAATAAAACAAGGTGTACGTCAGTCGTCAAAAAAAAAAAAAAAAAAAAAATAGTTCAATAAAATCTAATAAATAAATGATACTAGTTTAATTATAAATTTTAAAAATAAAAATAAAAAAATAAATTATAATAATAATTATTTTATTTTTAATTAATTAATATTTTTTTTAATAAATAAATTACTTATACATTCATGACTTGGAGGCCAACCTGTATATTTGGCTGCAGTGCCTTTATATGTTTGGGTATTTCTAATCTTTCCTAGTTCACACTAGGCACCTGTCTGAGTATTAAGTCTAGGTTTTAATATTACGTTTTACTAGTGCTTAGGTGGATTTATAGGACAATACTGGAATGGTCAGAACTACTTTTGTTGCATCTTACATTAGACTCTTCTTAGCAAAGAGAGATGTATATTAGTTTTTAGATTTGTAATATTGCCACACAGCAATCTCTTATAAATAATAAAGATACTAATTGCCGTTCTGGTATAAAAAAAAAAAAAAAAAATTATTTATAATAAAATCTTAAGTTTTATTTTAATTAAAAAATTAATTTTTTGTTACAATTTTTTAAATATTTCTGAATAGTATTTTATTATTATTTTATTATTGATAAAGTAGTTAAATTGATTTTTTTTTTTTTTAAATATATATTTGTACTGTTTATTTTTTGCTACTTCGTAATACATACCTAAGATTTGTAAAAATGTAATTTGTCACTTTATTATATACTACATTTAACTTATTTTTATGATAAGTTTTTGTTAATAATAATTTTTTGAAAGTATATATAATTCTTGATAAATATTATCTTTGATAAGGATACTTTTAAACTAAATAGAACAAATATATTTATTGATAAAACTTGAAGGGTTATTTTATAATTGTTTTTACAGTAATTTATAAAGTTTTTATTTACAGTTATTTAGTGCTAACTATTGTTAATCGTCAAAATAGTCCTTCCCTATTTTATTATTATGTAGAATATACGACTTTTCGACCCAGGTGTACGTAATATTACCGATTGTTTCTTGCTCCAAATATTTCCCGTTCGTCTTTGTTAAACTTTTTGTTTCAGTCAATTCAGAATTACACATCTGAACAGTATATTTGTTGCTTCTTTTGGAAACTAGATTTCCGAGATAGCCATCCTCGATTTTCCCGTTACCTGTGTTAGTATGATCACTTAGCTGATTACCTGCACTGGGACAGAATTAAGTGTTAGAACTTTGAACAATGTTCTTGTCCTTGTTCTCTGCTCCTGCATGAAGTATTTTAATTAATTGTGATTCACTATTCATGTCATCAGTGGGGGTTAATAAATCAATGAAATCTGTACACGAATTATTATCAATATTCTTCTGAAGGCCCTCGCCAGTTTTAATGGTATCCGGTTGTCGAATGAACTCTTCTTTCCGACGAATCTTAACGGTCATTCCAACTCTATCCGTGTTGACAGTTAATGATTGAACAGCTGGTGGCATTATGGAATCTCTATTTCTTCCTGAACTATTAGGTGACAACCTTTTATTTTCTTTATTCTCTTCTATAAAATCTACGGTTCTCGATCCTAACAATGGAGAGTTGGGTATACCTGAGGAAGAAAGATTTTTTTCATATTCACGTGATTTTAACGATAAGACTTCCGGAACGTTAGGCACCATTAACGATGCCATTCCGTCATCGACATTTCTATATGCAGAAGTTGGCGATTTTGGCAGCGATCGGGTGTCATTTTGATTCATTAAAGAGACTTCCAAAGTTTGAGGCTGTGCTTTAATATTCATCATGGATTTATTCTCCAAGGAGCTTATTGAACTCAATGACGAATTTTCATATAATCTTTTTTGACCTATCTCCAGATCACCATTATTAAAATTAAGAAATACAGCATTTCGAGACTTTTTCTGCAACTTTTTTTGTTTCCTGTTTTTCTCCAACACTAATCTCAACTTTTCTTCTTGGCATAACTTTCTATTTCGTAACCTTTGTTCCGGTGGAATTTTCTGGAGAAGAACAAATATTTCTATCATATTCAAAATAGAATTAATCTCCATATCAAGAACTCCTTCCAATGAAATGTGTGATAGGTCGTCTTTTATGATATCATATGCTAAAATCCCAACTATTATTCGAAGATTATTAAGATGAGCATCGGGTGTATATGCGTGTCTAATTATGTCAGGGATATGACCGCAGAGTTTTTCGAAGCAATCCACCCAAAGTGTCGGTACACAATCGTCTGGAGAAACCACAACAGCGGGAATATCTAATTCCTCAAGCAAAATAGTCATTTGAGCGAAACGACCTACGTCAAGAAAAATTGAGGTGGCAAATGATACAAAAGTTCAAAATAAACGTGTATTATTGCAGTTGTAATTATAGTTCAACAAATAGAAAACTTGAATACGCACTACGCATTCTCCTGTATGAATTCGAAGAAAGTGCAGAAGAAATGGAATTTGTTGAGGAATTATTAGCTGGCACCCCATTGAGTTGAAGTGATGAAATACAAGGAGAGGAACGAATTGTTGATAAGGAAAGAGAGGGTTGAGTAACGGACGCGCTTGTTAAAGGACCATTTGATTTACCCATAACGTTTCAGTTGAAGTTTGTAATAATCTCGAGTTACGTATTTCGTAATGTGAGGAAAGTTCATTTGATTGGCCGTTAGATTTTGTGTAATACGCATATATGCATATTGTGACACGTTACTTAAGTCGCGACATCTATTATATCAGTTAAGGGACATTTCCCTCCCGTTGTTGTTACACACAATATAAATTGTATTATAAAAATAACATTTTGAGTCTTGATTAAGGGAAATGTCCCGTGACTAATATATACAATAAACCTTCTTTAAATACATATCTCTTGGAACTATAGAAATTTTTTTTTAAAAATATACATTTATAGAAATAATTTTTATATATTTGTAATCAAACTTGACATTGTAATCAAAATAGTTTTGGTCAAGTGTCCAAATGATAGTTTTATAAGAAATTAGAAATTATATAGAACTATATATTGTTCCAAAGATAATTTTCTCACAGATATTACAAAAAATAACAAAAATTTCTCAAGAAACTTTATAACAAAATATATTTAGTAAAATATTAATATTTATTAAGATATAAAAATTTGGAATTCCAAGCAATCATAAAAGTAACTAACTAACTAATTAACTTTCAAAAATTACATGGATGGCAATTACTTATATAGTGCCTTTTTTTATGGACTGCTTGGACTGTTTGAATTGTTTGAATTGTTTAATTTATATATTATAATATTATAATTTCATAAATCATATAGTCTTATGAATTCTTTAAGCCTTATAAACTGCTTAAACCTTTTAAGTTGTCTAATATATATTATATATACTATAAATAAACAAATAGATACTATTATTAAAAATAATTTAATAAATAATTTAATAAATAATTTAATAAAAAATAAGTAAATTAAAATAAATTATTTATTTTATTACAATATAAATAAAAAACATAATAAATAAATTTAAAAAGAATTTATTTAAAAAGATCATTCTATATATAATTATTAAATAATAATAATAAAGTAAATTATAAATTTATAATACAATAAATAATATTTTTGAATTTTTTTTTTTTATTAGATGCAAGTCTTTATTGATATTATATATCTGTTACAATATATCAAACATATTCTGTAATGGTTACACTACAGCTTAATACTAGTCTATCAACTGTTTTTGCCTGTTAATGCTAATCTGATACTCTTGAAGTATTTTTTCACATCTTTGGGAGGACCTATCTAGAAGAGAAATTTCTACCACTAGTTTAAACCACTTAACTTACTGGTTTAATTTTTGTGCAGGAACAATGGGGGTATTACTAGTTATCCTTATAAGTAACTTATTGTATCACTCTTTTCCGACACTCAATTACCATGACAGAGGGTCTTCACATTGGTCTGCACTTTCTAGTAAATGCTTCGAACCTTTTTATCCTCTGGTTGGCTATCAGTTATCAAACCTAGAAGTCCTTTTTAACCAATTGGGGCACAAATCTGCAGGAATCATACAGGCCAGACTGGTATAACCACCATGTTTCCAAGGTTTCTGTCTCCTAGTAGACATATCCAGAGGGGCCGGTTGGTATTGGCTGTCAAATCTAGGGGCATGAATGTCAAGCAGGGCACAATTCCTACAGACGCGATAAGCCGTTAAGAGTTTATGTCATATAATACGTCAATGTTAGGAAAGCATATTCCTTCAAAGTTGCCTTATTCAGAAGCTGGCAGAATGGAAATATCATTTGAGTTGGTTAAGATGAAGTACAGCTCAGTCTGTGTATCCAAATATATAGTTGGTTCAAGCTATTGTCAGATGATCATCAAACCACTTCTGAACGATTATTTTGTCACACACCTTTCTTGGAAATCACAATTCCAACATCCCACTGAATCAGCATGTAAATGACTTCCCATGAGAAACAGGACTTAACAGGTTATGGCCCCAGATACCATTTTTAATTTGGTTCAATTGCTTTCACCTGGAATTGAACTGGTATCTTGTGATCTGACCTGTGGAGTGTTAACCATTATACTATGGATCCACAGATCTATAATATTTTTGAATTATTAAATATATAATATATTATAATTTAATATTTATAGAAAATTAAAATTTAAACCAATATTAAAATAATATTAATTTATAATAAATTTAATATATGAATTATAATCTACTATATTAAATATATAGTAAATTTAGTATCAACTTAATATTAAATAATATTATTAAAAATTATATAAAAATTAAATATAATATATATATACTGTATACTGTATATATATATTTTCAATTACTAGCTTTTTCTAACTAGTAATATTTATTAAGTTAATATTTATATATATTTGTTACATAATCTCTTGACTGACTATATAAAAACTATACTATAATATTAATTGATTATTGATTATTAGACTATATCAGAATTACTTTAAATATTAATATTACCATCAGTTTTTTCTTAACAAATAGGAATTGAACCATTGGATTTTTCCAATGATATAAAAGTTTACTATAACAAACTATTTTCTTAATCTCTTACTTATAAAATATCTGCATCAAGTGTATCAGCATACCTATATTACCTATCAAAGTTCTATGTCTTTATGTAGGACCTATAATTTTAAACTCTTTAACCTGTTTTGGTTTTGCAGTAATAACAAATTGTTTTTTGAGATAACTTTACTTTAAGCATTAGTTGCTTATTTAAGAAAGTACAATTTTTTCAAAGTAATGTTTTATCTCCAGAAGGTTTTTCATTCTGGTAATTATTATTAACTAGTGCTTTTACTACAGACAAGAATGATAGAGACTTTAGAAAATTACATGGATATTATCAAGAGGTAACAAATCTTTCATTCTAGCAAACATTACTATCTAATACTTTTACTACAAGTAAGAATAGTAAGAACTTTTGATATCTATAAATCTTTGTCAAAAGAGGTGAATAGTCTTTTCTTGTTATATATCTTCTATTTGTAATTCTTTTAAATTTTATAAATCATTATACTCTATCACTTTTTCATGATATTATTAAAATAGTATATAATAAAAGGGTGTGTTAATTATTTACCCATATGCTTCTATTATGTCTTATAGTAAACTTAAGATTCTTATATAACTTAGAAAATATATTTTCAATACATGTCTCTTGTTTATCTTTTTTTTTAATATATAGTTGTTGTTCAATCCAAAATTTGACCAATTAATTTTTAGCAGATCCAGTATAACAAAATAATTAGGGTCAAATTGAGATAGACAAAATTCTCCAAGAAAATAAAACTTTTTAATATATAATGAAGAAAGAATTTAGGGCCTAGTAAAATTCAACTTGAGAACAAAAGCCTATTATAGTATTGCTTGTGATAAACTTCAATCCTAAACTTGCCTATCCTAAGAGATAAATAAAAGGAAGAAGTTAAAAATACAGTTCTTCTTTCTAAAAAAGTTTTTCTTGCTATTGGAAATTTAGGTTTTTTCAAACTTTTAAATAGAATAGTACTTAATCAGAAGATGAAAAGGAAAAAGACAACAAAGAAGTGAATATAGAAACTTTTGTTCTATCCAATATAGTGTTTTAAGAAAAGTATATAGACTATATTAAGCAGAAATATAAAGATAATTGCTAAATATCACTTTGAAACAATGATCAAGGAATCAGCAGAAAGAGTTTTTTTTTAAATATATATATATACAATATATATTATATTAAAAAAATTAAATTCTAATTAAATTTGATTAGGCTATTATAAAAGTCTTACAAAATTATAAATAATTTCAATTAGACAATAAATTTAGAAAGAAATATTTATTGAACTCAAACAAAAAGTTAAATTTATTTAAGTCAAAAGTGTATCATTTTTATTTTTTATTTTTTATTTTTATTTATTTATTTTTATTTATTTAAGTTGTAAACAGTATTAGATACAAAACATTTTTATTAACATAAGTTATTTGTCATTATATCAAATATTCCACTCCACCGGTATTTTGATGGGTGTTAATGTTATATCATTTAATTATTACTAATTAAAGTGATTATGTATACAACTTTGACATACCTAACTATACGAAATTTTAAACATCAAATAGATGATCCACATGCCAGGTGGGACTTACATAGGAGGTGAAAATCCTATCACTAGTTTAAACCACCTAATCTACTAGGTCCAATTTTGACTGCATCCATCATGGGTGGGACACATTATGGAATATTATTATAGAGATTAACCCCAGTATTCCAGTCACTATTATCATTGATTCTTGGGATATACCACTAGCATACCATAGCACTACTGTTTTCACCACCTGTGGAACTGGTGTCCTTGCTTGGATTCTGATTTAATCTCATGGATTCTTACTAGATGCACTTGGCTTAATGATTTTTGCCTAGTCTTCTTACTACCTGTGGCTAATACCTTGCCCTTTAGTCATATGATTAAGTTCCATAGAACACCACATTGGGATAGATCTACAAGCTCCATATTGGAATAGAATGGCTTAGAATTAACCTCATTTTAGGATTGTGTGATGGAATCTGCCATCACCAGTTTGAATTAAAGTGGACTTTTTACTAGAGTTAGAACAGAAATCTTTCCTCATGCAATCTTCCTTGCTTTGACCTGTTTTCAGCCTGCGATCATTGGAAAAATCAAAGGTCCCATCTTTATGCAGCCTAACTAATTTTGGAAGATGCTTTGTGGCTGATTGGGTATGACATGAATTGGAAGCCAGTCAATCAATCATGAAGGTGATAAAATTTTGTAACCAGGTGGGGTTGAACCCTAGACCTTCACCTGATAACCTATGGAGCTTTACCACTGAGCTATAGATCCATAGGTCTAAGTGTATCATTTTTATATATTTTAAGTTAATACAAAAAGTATATGTAAAAAATAAAATAATAATAAAATAAATAATAAATAAATAAAATAAATATATAAATAACAAAATACAACTATAGTTAAGTTTATTTAAATATAGTAATATTATTTTATAGTTATTTTATAGTTATTCTAAATTAAAAAATATATATAAATAACTA